CGAGAAGAACTATCCATTTTGTTGTACATACCTTTCAATAACACCCTGTATATCCGTAGAATATTCAAAATCCACTAAACATTTTGTACTCAATTCGCAATATTATATTAATCTTATCTTTATTATTTCATTTCTCTAAAATAAGTCCCAAGGAAAAGCTAAATTTAATAACAAGTTGTGCAGTACCATCGAATATAGTCACGTGTTAAAAATTACATTTTATATTGTACATACAGAGTGAGTCACTAACCACGCAGTTCTCGATATAACATCATTAATTGTCAGAAATACAAAAAAAAAACAAAGACCAAAATTGTACGGTTCTTTGCGTACTATACGTTAAAATTATTTTTGACTATACAGAGTGTTCTGTTTTTAAATCGTAACACACAACTCATTTTTTTTAATAAAATATATGATGACTCATCGCCAATGAAGCCAGCCGGGCGGCGTTCGCTATAGAAAAACCTGGGAGCGGAAGTATGGTTTTAAATAGACCCCACCTTCGAGAACGAAGATTATTCAGCCAGTTGAGTCAAAATGGAGTCCAGCCACGTTGCGCCGGAATTGTTTTGTACATAATAGTTGTGTAATTAGTCGTGTAAATTTGAATTATTGCAAAATAAATTGTTGAGTTTTACCCACGCCGATTTTCAATCACCGATCTACGTAACACTGGTGTCAGAAGTGGAACGTGTAGAATAATTCAACCACCCACCAATGATGGTCAGACGCCTTGGTCATCTCACAAGAAGCAGTTCAAAGCTGCAGCGACGGCGAATCTCTGAGAAGAAGAGCAAAAAGCGACAGCCTTGGTAATAGCTTTGCGAGGCGGAGCGTTGGAGATACTGCAAACTCTATCTGAAGAAGATAGAAACAGTTACAGTGCCCTAACTGCTGCCTCAGAACTTCACTTTGGGGATGAATATCTAAAAAAAGTATTTGCCATCCAAGTCAAAAGAAGAATACAGAAAGCGAAGGAATCTCTACAAGAATTTGAAGCAGATGTCAAGAGATTGGTACGTCTTGCATACTCCGACGCACCACCATCCTTCCAAGAGAGCTTTTGCGATAGAAACTACAAGTATCAGCGTATCAAACATCATCTGATGCCCTAATTCGTGCACTGGACGTGGAGGTAGCGTACAATTCTTCAAGAACGTGCCATAAAGTCAGAGTGGCCGAATTAGAGACGGAAGAAAACGGCAAGTTAAAAAAGCTTTTGGAAAAATTCTTACAGCAAATAATAAATGGCCTAGCTCAAGGACGAGAGAACGGTGTGCCTCACCAGTTCCGAGGAGAAGCACAGAAGACAGATCTCCTCAACAAAAAGTGCAGAAAAACTAAAAACAGCCAGTACTTTGGGGGATGTGCTGGCTGGTAAGAATAAGGCTTCCAGGGAAGTGAAAATGGACAGTTTTACCAAAGGCAGAAGTCCAACTATACCGGGAAATATTAATGGGACTTGCGGAGCAATCACGATCGATACTGGCGCTGAAGTCTCAATCCTGCGTAGAGGTCTCTTGAGGGCTAAAGCTCTAAGGACTATTCCCGAAACAATCAGATTGAAGACCGTGACTGGAGAGTCGACGCCTATCATAGTTGAATCCGAGGTAGAAATCTGCATTGGTCAACTGAAGATAAAACATCGGGCACTCATTACTATCATTGAAGAAAACTTAATTTGGGGAACGGATTTGATTAGCTTAGCGACTTGTATAAATTTACCGTAATGCCTTTTGGACTGTGTAATGCTCCGGCTACTTTTGAGAAACTAATGGAGATGGTATTGGGAGGACTAACATGGAAAACATGTTTGGTTTATTTAGACGACATCATGGTAATGGGAAAAACATTTGAGGAGCACTTGACGAACCTAGAAGAAGTATTCAATCGAATGAAGGAGGCAAACTTGAAACTGAATCCGAAGAAATGCCTCCTCTTCCAAAAAGAAGTAGAATTTTTTGGACATACTGTTTCGGTAACCGAGATCGAGACTACGGGAACGAAGATCAGTGCAATTCGCGATTGGTCAAGACCGAGAGATAAGCACGAAGTTCGGAGTTTCTTGAGATTGTGCACGTACTGCAAAGGGTTTGCTGATATTGCTGCTCCTCTACACAGGCTGACAGATTTGAAGTCTCAATTTAATTGGACTGCTGAATGTGCGGCAGCCTTCAAAAGATTTGAAGAATGCACTATGCTCTAGCCCTATTCTGTCAAAGAAGAAGAAAAAAGTCATCGAGTACTTCAGCAGCGTACTTTCGCAACCTGAAAAGAACTACTGCGCCACTAGGAAGGAGTTGTTGGCGATTGTCAGAGCTGTTGAACACTTCTATAAATAGGCTGGTAAGCTTTACAATAGTGCAACTGTGGAAGGACAGCTGTCGTAAAAGATGAAGAATGGACTAGACAGCACAGCTTAGAAAAGACCAAGAGAAGGACGTTGATATCGGACCGTTGCTCAAACGGAAAGAAGACGGGGAGAACAGCCAGCTTGGTCGGAAATATCAGACGAGTCACCCTCTTTCAAAGCATTATGGGGTCAGTGCGACTCCCAGCGTGTCAAAAATGGATTGCCTAAGCGAGCTTGGGAGAGTCCGGACACGAAACATACCACCATGTAGTTGGTGGTTCTAGCCATCAAAATCAAGAAAGTACTTCAAGAAATGCACAACGGGAGCGTCGGTGCCCATTTTGGAATTAACAAGACGCTTTCTAAAGTTAGGGAGGGATTTTACTGGGATCGTTGTCGAGAGGACGTCGAGAACTGGGGCAAGAAATGTAAGACTTGTGTGGCTGTCAAGGGACCAAGGACTAGAGCTAGAGGGCCCTTGCAACAATACAGTTCGCTTTTCGAAAGAATTGCCCTGTATACAGCAGGTCCTTTCCCGGTGACCGAGGACGGGAATAAGTACATAATGGTCGTCAGCGATTACTTTAGCAAATGGCCTGAAGCTTATGCCATACCGAACCAAGAAGCCACGACGGTTGCAAAAATACTGATTGACAATTGGATCATCGGCAGGTTTGGGGTCCCAATGGAACTCCATTCGGATCAAGGCAGAGACTTCGAGTCAAACGTATTCCGAAGGGTTACTAGGGATACGGAAGACACGAACTACGTCGTTGCACCCACAGTCAGATGGAATGGTACAACGGTTCAATCGTACCATATGGAAGAACATCTTTCGTAAGTGGTGGCCGAAATCAGAAATATTGGGATCGACACCTTCCACTGTTCCTACTGGCTTATCGTTCAGCTGTCCATGACACGACGAACTTCGTCTACTTTGTGACATCTTGTTCGGTTCTCCCAGTGAAGAGCCAAAGGAGGTCATAGATTACAGACGGAATGAAAACACGCTACGACGTCAAGGGGAACTCAGTAGGATTCCAGGCAGGGAATTTGATATGGCTTTATAACCCCCGAAGAAGAAAAAATCGTTGTCCGAAGTTGTCACCAGACGGGGAAGATCCATATATTGTCGTGACAAGAATCAACGATATCATTTACAGAATTCGACGAGGGCCGAAAACGAAAATGAAGATCGTCCATTTAGACCGCCTCATGGAGTACAACTGTGACACCGTCGACGTTTCTAATCGGGACGACCAGAACTAAGGAGGGGGCAATGTTACGAAATAAACCCATACGCTGCCCCGGTACGACGCCTATGGGCCGTCGAGAACTTCTGATCTGTACACCCATAATAACTTATCGCCGATGACGTCACCCGGACAGCTTTCGCATAAAGACAAGTCTGGAGCAGGTTACCGGAAGTCTAGATTGCGGCGTCCACAAACCCCTCGAAGCGGCGTTCGCTAAACAAAGGTCTGGAAGCAGAAGACGCGATGGATTCCAGAAAGACCTCGATTGCGAAACATCGAAAAGGGAATGTGGGTTTACATGGAGGCCACCTTTGTAGAATGTAGAATAATCTCTGTGTAAGCAGTCGTGTAAATTTGAGTTATTAAGAAATAAATTGTTGAGTTTTACCCACGCCGATTTTAATCACCCATCAACGTAACAATAATTTTAAAATATAATGCTCAAAAAACCGTACAACTTAACTTAACATGACTTATAATTAACGAGATATCGAGGACCACGCCCTTACTGATGCTGCATGAAACCATCGTCAAAAAATTACAGTTTTTCTTTTAAAAATTGTATTAATAACGTTTTATACTGTGAACTTTGTGATATTATCTGGCATCACCTACAGCTATACTGAATGTTTAATTATATCATATTCATGTGACATCGCCCGTACTCCCTGAATTGTGACACAGTCTTTAAAAATGCAGTTGTATTGATTTAATGGTGCTAAATTAAAAAATACAAGTAGGTACACTGTGCTTAGAAAGAGAAAACTGGAAGCAGCAGCAGAAACCGCCGTGATCTTCCTGAATTTGTCATTAGAGTGTGACAATTGATTTTACTACATATGTATATTGCATATAAAATTTACCATGTACAGAACCTTATCTAAAGGAAACTTCGTATTATATACTAATTTGCTTCCACACGTCAGACTTCTCAAAAATTGTATAATGTGTAATGAACAAATGTAGTAAATGCTATAGGTACAAGTTAACTATTTACAAGAAGCGCCTCCCTAGAAACTTCAAAATGCAAACAACAATACAATTGCCTGGCAGTCTTATCAGTTTTTAAGTTGAAAGGGTTAAAAGCAAAAACAAAAAGAAGAGGTCCTCAAAGCATCTCCTGTACGGAAATTCTCTATACAAACGTGAATCTTTTGAATAAGTATACATCAGTTTTTACATGAAAGTGTCTCACATTATTTCAATGTTGTTACTACAAAATAAATAATTGTGTTACTTTTTTTGTGGTAGACATGCTTTTGAAATTATATTTATGGTTGTGTCTTGAATTTTTCAGGCGTGGAGCTTCTCGTGAATAACATCTATTGTATAATTATGAGGGAAAATAAGCTTACCAAACGTAACCATAATTGTTGTAAGAACGCCCATCGTATTGAACAGAATAGACAAAGGTATTCCGAAAAGAACATCATACACGGGCCAATTAACTTTCTCAAAAAATACGCCACAACTCAATCCGCTGAAGAAAAGTAAAATTGCACTGCAAAGATCCACAAAAGCTAAAACTAAATAAATATTTGTAAATAACAGAAAATCTGTGAGACGTCGACAGAAAGAGGAAATTGCGGCCAATTTCGTTCTTTACAGGATATTAAATTTTGTTCATGTCTCTCTACAACAACATTATCTGCAGGAAAATTATCAAATCACTCACCTGCCAAGTAGACGTAGACAGAACCCTTAAGTTCTCTTCTATTTAAAACGAAAAGTGAGATAGTGTTTCCGAATATCCCAAAAGCGCAAATAATTGGTGTCACAACTGAATAAATTATCATTCCTATCAGTAAAAAAGTATTAACAAAGCTTTAATAAAACAAAATTACGTACCTTCTTCTGTTGGAGATGTACTGTCATAGACACTTTCAGTTTGTGAGATATTAGTAAGAATTGTCCGATAACGCGGATAATAAATTGATATGTCCATTACTTCTTTTCTTTATTAAAATCTCTTCGTTATTTTGAATGAAGTTAACCTGTCGTTGTGTGTCGAGCTGATGTTGCAATAAATGTATATCAAAAAATCAATGAAAGTATTTTGTTAATTTGGATGTATAACTATGAACTCAGATTAAGATTAAAATGTTTGTACTGTTATACTTAATTACATATCCATGTAAATTTGCTGAATTACTCCAAAATAGTAATAAATACGTTACGTCATAGATATTAGAACTTTAGATAGGTACAAGTTAATTACTTTGTTACTAAAGTACCTATCCACTTAAAGCTGGAAAATCACAGCTGACTTTCCCAACAGTGTGTGTAATAATAAAGAGGCACAATAACAATAATGAGTGTTCAAAATTATACTTATAAATTTCCACACCCAATACTTTATTTTACAAACAATTCGTAAGATATTTTTCAAAAACAGTCATTTCAGCAAATGTTCGACCTCTGTTTCCCTGACAGACTGAACACATTATTTTTTTTATCTTCTAAATCACGGAATCTGGGCTACGAGCTGGCCATCGAATTACTCTATTGCCCACTGAATTTTAAAATACAGTTAATTTTATACAATAATTTTATTAACATTACTATAGACCATGTCGTATTTTACATCCTCGGTGAGTTTTTGACACTTAACTTATAGTTATTTAAGAACCTCGTTTAGTTTGTTATACCTGAAGATGACTTTAATGTATTAATAAAAATTCGAAACATGTAGGAATAAAACTGCCTTTCACTCCACATATTCAAAAGACTGTAAAACATAACTGCAGTTATCTGTACTTCAACAGGAAATGGGTCTTTAAAAATTATATAGGTAAGTGTTTTATTTCATTATAATTCTGATTTAACAATTTATTAAAATCCATTTGAAAATATACGCTGCAATTTAAAAAGACATAAAATCTGCACTGTACTGTAGCTTTCACATTTACGCTAAAAACAATGGCGTTTACAGAATTGCAGTGTTTCTATCCGTTCTCAAGATGTAAGGTTGCGAAATTTTATCTGGGATGTCTGTATATAAAAAGTCAAAACATATGAAGATAAATTTATCATACGACAGTAGAGTGACATGCGAAGTTATTTTTTAGGTTATAGCACAAATAAACAGATTTATTTTTAATAATTAGTTAACGAAAATTTAAAAGATTAGTAGTATATCTTATATTCAGGTCATGCATGTTGAATTTTGGCTTACTGCTATCTGTTTATCTACAAATTTAATTTACCTATTTTTTACGAGGTAGGTATAACTTAATCAGCAAAGTATGCCAAGTGCAATATAAATTTATAGTGTTACTTTACTGACAGTTTTGATACATTTTTTAAATTGTTGGCCTCTTAAATTTGATTTATCGTAGCCGTATCTATGACATAGTGTTTTTCAGCAGTCGAAATTAAAATTATCTACACAGATCATTTACAGATTTTGATTCTATTTAGATAAAAGATTTAAACAAATGTAATAATTTTAATTGGTGGCGTCGAATTTATGACATCATGGACATTTGTTTTTAGTAAATAGTTAGTTTTTATTATTATTACATATTTTAAAGGAGGGATAAAATTGAATATTGAAATCAGACAAATCCCGTTTAAAAAAAAAATGGTCCAAGGTTATTTCGACAGAAAAAAAATGGCGGCAGCCGTTCCCGATTTAATTAATAAAATAAATTGACTCATTCATTAATATTTATAAATCACCCTGTATAAGAATTTCAAAAACTTTAATGCAGTGACAAATCACAAGTATAGACTCATCACATTTTGCACATTTTACGTAGGATTTATTCGGCAAAATTTTGAAATGATGTCATCAATTTTTTTTTGGGAGGGGGGAATAAACAGATATATTATGATTAAAAATTTACCACTAAGATTTCAAAGCGTTCGGTTGTGCAGTTCTTGATTTAATCAATGAATTTTTTTGAGTCACTCTGTATAAGTAATTCCAAAAACTAAGAGTGCGTTGATTAAACCACAAGTATAGAGTCATAATATTTTGAATTTTTCAGAGAGGATTTATTCGGCAAAATTTTGAGATGACATCATCAGTTTTTTGGGAGGAGATAAACGAATAATTTTTTCTTAACAATTTACCATGATTATGGTTACCTTAAATTGTTTACGAGATCTCAGAGCATTCGGCTGTGCAGTTTCAAAGTTAAATTGCAAAATATTGTTATCAAATTTTGAATTTTTTTCAAAAATTTGGATGACTAGGGTGAAAATTCGACACGGATTCACACACCACAAGCGCAGGAGGATTTATTTTATAAAATTAAAAATTAATTACTGTTATAATTTTTGGAGATGACGTCATCCCATTCCTGGTGGGTATGATTAGCCAAATTTTAGTTCTATTTACATTATATTTCAATATATATACAAAATTTCACAACAGTCGGTCCGGTAGTTTCAGCGACTAGGTGTGTAATAAAAGTGGATATACCTAGACACCATATGGACAGGCAGACAGACGGAAACGGGAGACCACTCTTTTCGTACTCCAGAGGTCATGACACGTCGAAAAAATATAAAAGTGGCAATTCGTCCGATGGACTCGATTACTAGCTCCTGAAATATAGACAAACAAGCAGGTATAGCTTCTTCGAAAAATTATGAATGAATTTTGCAATTATTTTTATGATAATCCCCATACGTTATAATAAAGATATGCCTGCACTATTAAAGTACATGTAAAGAAGCATTGGATGTCTATGTTTCATGACTTTTCATAACAAAATTTTGTGATAACGTCATCAATATTTTAGCAAGGATACATATGTCCAGAAATTCCATCACGGAGCTTATTTCGCATTCAGTACCTCCTTTAGAGTAATCCATAAAAAGAAGTCTAGCAGTTTTATGTGGAAAATTCTGGCTGGCCACACTATGAGTTCGCGTCTCCCAATCCATCTATTTGGCGGAGTACTTTTAGCGAAATAGTGCTGAAGGTCAGCAGCATAATAATGAAACGGAGCACTATCTTGCTGAATCCAGAATTGTGACAATAAAAAATTAAAAATCTACGAGAGTTTAACCGTGGAATAGTGAAATTAATTTGACATAAAAGTTGGGAACAATCAATTTTGTTATTCAAAAGCTTAATTAAAAACTGGATTAAATTAATAATACGACGAGTATTTAAAAAATTATAATTAAATCTAAGTGGCAACATATTATGATTATACCCTTGTTGAGGATAAATACCATCTGTTAAAAATACTAAATACTTCAAAAATTTAAATTGAATAGATTCTAACATGGTAATATAAATATTATATGTAGGTAAGGGAAGAAAAAGAAATGTTTCTGCCTCGGTGGGAATCGAACCACACGCCCCCCGCTTGCCGGGCAGATATCCTGACCACTAGACCACGAAGCCGCTTATCTTTCTTCGCTTACCACCGTGTCATTGTGCCGCCGCCACATTATATATTGGGAACTAGATCAATACACCTTATTCTAATCTGCTTCTAATTAGCGAACAATAATAAAGGGCATTTAACACCAATATAGAACGAAAATGTTTACAATTTCTGTATATAAAGCCATAAATCCTAAATGCTTTTGCCGTAATGTCTAGTATAGCTGTCTAAATGTTAATTTCTCATCAAAAATAATGTCAAGGTCTCTAATTTCCGATTTCCGTACAAGTAAAATGTCGTTTAAGGTGTAATCATAAACCAATATATAAATCTTGCAACAAAAGGAAACAATGAAATATTTCGAAACATTAAGATAAAGTAGGTTTTTCACGCACCAGATCATTATTTTAGCCAAATCTTGTTGTAAATAAATGCAGTATCTGATGGAGCTGATGCTACGATAAATTTTTAAATCATCGACGAAAAGTTCTTTGTTGGATGCAATGACCTCAGTAATGTCATTAATTAAAAGTAAAAAAAGAAGTGGTCCTTGAGGGACCCCAGAAGTTGGTACATATACATCAGATAGGTGCTTCTTATATTTTACACACTGATTCTGGTTAACAAGATATGACTTAAACAAAGAACGTAATGCGTCAGAGAAGCCGTAACGTTTCAGTTTAGCTAACAAAATGACGTGGTCAATTTGGTCAAATGCCTTTTGGGAATTTGTATAAACAACGTCGACCTGACCTCGGTTATTGATTACTTCTGAGGTGAATTGACTAAAACATGCTAAATTTGTAACTGTAGATTTTTTTTCCATAAAAATAGCCATATTTATGTTTATAAAGTATAGATTCGAACACTTTGAGAAGCAACAAAGAAAAGAAATTAGACGATAATTGTCTATATTGTTCAAATCGCCTTTTCTAAGAACTCATGAAACACAGGCAGTTTTCCAGATGTTTGGGAAAGTTGAAGTTTTCAGAATTAAGTTGAAGATACGATGTAGGGGCTTAGCAAAGACGTAAGCACAATCTTTAAGAATGAAACTGAGACTTATCGATGCCTTGAGTAAAACTATCTTTACAACTCTTCAGAAATCGATGGAATGGTTATATTAGTATTGTAGTCATTAAAGGGAAGATCAATATTAAGATTATCTACATCTGATTGAATAAAAACACTACTAAAAACTGATACAAAAACATTCACAATTGAAGAAGGGGTGGAAAATTCAATGCCGTTGTGTTTCATGAGTCCTGGTATACGTGAGGAGCCTTTTCTCAGTTGAATGTAAGCCCAAAATTTGCAGGGATAGTTGATAAATGAGGTTTCAAGTTCAACAATACGAGGGTAGTTTTATAAGTGTGGTACAAAAGAATGTTTAACACATTTTTTATCAATTTTTTTTTCAACGTAATCTCCATCGAGGTTTACACACTTAGTCCAGCGACTATCCAATTTTTTCATCCCCTCCAAAAAATAAGTTCTCAAACCCTGCAAAATACTCATTTACAGCTTCCACAGCCGCATCATTTGAAGAAAATTTCTTTCCACCGAGCCAAAGTTTTAAATAGGGAACAGGAAAAAGTCGCAAGGGGC